TTTGTTCAAAGCCTGCAATTTAATAAGCCAGGCATTCTCATTAAACTCTCAGTGGAGATAACTGTGAATATCACACACAAGTTTTTTTCCTCTTCTCTCCCAGAATCATGCTAGGTTCATAGCTGGAAGGGAACTCAGAGACATTGTGGTCCAACCTCTTCATTTTGAGAGATGAGGAAAGAGAGGCTGAGTGACTTGCCCAGGGTCACACAGTTAATAAATAGCATTTCAACTCAACAAACATTGTTTAAGCACCCACTACGTGTAAGGCCTCAAGCTAGGTACTGGGTTTACAAAGACAAAAAAAAATGAGATAATCCCTGGCCTCAAGAAATGTATAGTCCCCTGGAAAGGTGCAATGTGTAAATGCAAGGGGATTGAGGAGGGAAAGAGCATTATGGACTGGGGAAAGCAGGGAAGGCTTCATGGAAGAGGTAGAAAGAAGATAAAGGGAAAAAAAAGGAAGATAAGGATGCTGAGACACTAAGGTCCCTTCAAAATTAGAGTAGTCAGGAAAAAAATCCATACCTACAATAAAGGCAATGGAACTTTATCAGCACAGAAAGAGGAAAAGGGGGAAATTTTGGGGAGGGGAGGAAAGGGAAAGTCCAGACCTATGATTTCAGTAATCAAATTAGATAACATTTGCAAATGATAATTATGTATATGATAATATATGTAAAGGATCTTGCAAACCTTAGAGTACTATCTGCTAGTTAGTTAGTAGTAGTAGTAGCAATAGTACTTATTTTGTTGGTTTAGAGAACTCCTGGTAAGTAAATGCTTTGTACTGTGTTTTATCCTTGGATTTTCAGATCCCTACTTGGCCAGGTTGGGTGACTAGGTGGCACCATAGTGCACAGAGCACTGGGCCTAGAGTCAGGAAGATCTGAGTTCAATTCTGGCCTCAGACACTTACTAGCTGTGTGACCTGGGCAAATCACTTTACCCTGTTTGCCTCAGTTTCCTCTTCTGGAAAATGAGCTGGAGAAGGAAATGGCAAACCACTCCAGAATCTTTGCCAAGAAAACTCCCTGAAAAAAACTAAACAGCAAAAACACTTGTTCAGGTACCCTTCCTAGACCTTTTTGGAGTAGTTGTTGGAGGGACCCAGGCTGTACTGCTTCCTCCTCTTCCTCCTCTTCCTCTTCTACCTTGATCTCTCTCCTCTAGTAATCCCTCTACCATTGCAGATCTGAAATTGTCTTACAATTTACAGTTTTAGGGAGTTGCTTGTGGCACTGAGAGGTTAAATGATTGGCCCATAATAACACAGACAGTGTATGTGAACTTAAACCCAGCTTGTCCAGAATTCAAGGCCAGTTCTTTGTTCACTATGTCGGACAATTATTTTTGCTCATATTTTGTTAAACTTGATGTTATCATTAGTATTTGTTTTCTTAACTAAAATGTACACTGTCTACCACTCTTGAATCCCTTGTCCCTTTTTCCGCCTTCCATTCATATCCTGCCAATCTTTAATTGCAGACCACCCCACCCTCTGCTTTAACTGCTCCTGCTCCTGGGATACTGAACATGGGAAGAAGCCATTTGATGGCATTGGCTGGAAATGCTGCAAATTCATCTCAACTCAATTTGGCAAAACTTTCATTGTTCCCTGATTGACTTATTCTCCTCTTCCCCATAACAGTTTCCATAAAACTTCTCTCTCCTTGGAAGCTCACCCCAACTCCTACACCTTTGTTTCTCACTTGATGACCTCCCTACCTCCTCTCCTGAGAATGGTTTCCATTGAAGCCATGGGTTAAAAACTCCCTAATCTCCTCTATTCCATACTTCAAAACCTCTCAGTATATTTACCCATCCTCTCCCTCTTTGTTCCATTCTCTGAGGAAGAGATAGTTCTTTGCCTCACCAAAGATAAACCCTCAGCCCTAACTTTTCCCATCTCTCCCTGGAGCTTGTGACATCCTTCATTCCATCCCTCTCTCTCATCTTATTCTCCCCTTCAACTGGCTCCTTCTTTGTTATCTACAAACATTCCCAGGTCTCCCTTGGCACTCAAAAAACATTTGATTGTCCATGCCATCCTCTCAAGATATCACCATGTCTGTCACCTCCCTTTCACTGCCAAACTCCTGAAAAGATATGTCTGTACTTTCTGCTGCTACTTTCTCATCATCCAATCACTTCTCAGCTCCCTGTAATTTGGTTTCCAACCCCGACACTCTACTGAAATTGCTGATCTCTTATTCACTAAATACAAAGACCTTTTTTGCCTTTTTGGAGAGAGTAAAGAGTCAGGAATGATACGTGAACCTGCATGACCAGAAGGAGAGCAGTGCTCTCAACAAAACATAGGGAAGTTTAGAAGAGGGATGGGTTTGGGGGTGAGAGGGAAGATGATGAGCTCTAATTTAGATGTGTTGAGTTTGTGATGCCTATTGGCATCTAATTCTAAGTCATCAATAGGCAGCTGGTGGTGCAGGACAGGAATTCAGAGACACTAGAAATAGATCAATAGATCATCCTCCCAGACCCCTCTGCAGATTCTGGGTTGTTGTTGTTGTTGTTGTTGTTGTTTTTTGGTTGCTAGGCAATGGGGTTAAGTGACTTGCCCAGGGTCACTCGGCTAGTAAATGCTATGTGTCTGAGGCTGGATTTGAACTCAGGTCCTCCTGACTCCAGGGCCAGTGCTCTATCCACTGTGCTACCTGGCTGCCCCCCACCCTCTGCAGATTCTGAAACAGCTGACCAAGCCACCCCCTGAATACTCTCTGCTCCCTTGGATTCCATGCCACTGTGATCTCTTGTCCTACAAATTTGACTAGTTCTCTATTTCCTTTGCTGGATCATAGATCTAGAGTTGAAAGGACCTCAATGGTCATGTAATTCAATCCCCTCTTTTTTGCAAATGAGGAAACTGAGGCCCAGGGAAGTTAAGTGACATTCCCCTGGTCATATAGATAGCAAGTTGTCAAAAGTAGGATTTGAACCTGGGTTCTCTGATTCCAGAGGCAGGGCTGTCTCCTGGCTCTAAGTGTGAACATCTCACTAGGCTCTGCTATCATTATTACACAATTGACTCACAAATCTAAATATCCAGGCTTAGTTTTTCTCTTTAACTTCCACACTGCCTTTGGAATATCTCTACCAGAGAGGCAGCAAGGTGGTGCAGTGAATAGAATACCAGCCCTGGAGTCAGAAGGACCTGAGTTCAAATTAGGCCTCAGACACTTACTAGCTGCGTGATCCTGGGCAAGTCACTTAACCATGAGTGCCTCAAAAAAAAAAAAGAACATCTCCACCAGGATGTCCTGTTGATGTCTCAGATTCAACATATCACCCCAGTTTGATCACCTTGATCTTCCCTCTCCCTCACTTCCCATATCCAATCAGCTGCCAAGTTTTATTGACTCTACCTTCATAATATCTCACAGATCTACCTATTTCTCTCTCTCCACTCACTGGACCCTTGTCCTAGCCCAGGGCCTTGTCACCTATGGGGGAAGCACTGTGTACAGAGGGAGGAGCTTTGGCCCTGGAGTTAGAAGACCTGAGTTCAAATCCTGGGCTATGATGTTTACTACTTCTATGATCTTAAATAAGTTGCTTAATCTCCTTGAGCCTCGGTTTCCCCATCTATAAAATGAGGGGGTTGGACTAGATGACTTTTGAGGTCTCTTCCAGTTCTAACTCTATGATTCTACAGTTGGTCTCTTGCTTCCATTCTCTCTCCTCTCTAATCACTCTTCCACATAATTGCAAAAATAATATGCTATGGCATAGGCCTGACCATGTCACCCTCCTGCTCAAAAACCTTCAGGGGCTCCCTACTGCCTTGAGGATAAAATGTAAACTCCTCATCTGGCACTGAAAGCCTTATATAATCTGACTTTACTTGCCTGCTTGTCCAGCCTTATTTCATATTATTCCTCTTCTATATTCCATCCAAATTAGACTAGCTGCTCCCTGAACTCTCAATAGTCTATATCCAACATATGTGTATTCCCACAACCTACTTCCTATGCTTGGAATGTACATTCTTCTCATCTCTGCCTTGTCAATTTACTCAGCATCACCCTAGCTCACAGTTGCATAGCATTTTGAGAAAAGTTGGGTGGTGCAGTGGATAGAATGCCAATCCTGGAATCAGGAAGACTCATCTTCCTAAATTCAAATCCAGCCTCAGACACTTACTAGCTGTGTGACCCTGGGCAAGTCACTTAACCCTGTTTGCCTCAGTTTCCTCATCTGAAAAATGAGCTGGAGAAGAAAATGGCAAACCACTCTAATACCTTTGCCAAGAAAACCCCAAATGGAGTCACAAAGAGTTGGACATGACTGAACAACAGCAACATAGCTTCATTATTTCATGACTAAACTTCATAGACACTTTGTGAAGTAGGTGCTATTATAATTCTCATTTTACAGAGCAGAAAATGGAGGTTCAAAGACATCAAGTGACTTCCCCAGGGTCACCCAGCTAGTAATTGCCTGAGGTGGGATTTAAACTCAGGTATCCCTGACTCCAAGCCTGCCAAGCTGCCTCTAGAATTCTTCCTTCAAGGCTCAGCTCAAGCATCACCTTTTCTGTGAAGCTTTCAGTTGTTAGTATGTTCTCTCTCCCCAAATCACCTTGTATTTACCTCTCTGCATGATGCTTAGACCTGCACGTGGATCCCTCAGAAGTATACACGTAGGCTTTGCAAACCTCAGAGTGCTATATAAATGTTAACGACCATTATAGCTTCATTATCAGCTCTTCGAAGATAGAGACCATCATTTTTGTCCTTTTATTCCAAGAATATAGCAGCACAGTACATAGAATATAGTAGGCACTTACTAAATGTTTCTTGCATTTCACTGAATTTCTCATGCTCACATATTAAATAGCAAATACAGGATTCAAACCGAGGCCCTTTGCCTCTAAATACAATACTCTTTCTATGATTGCAGGTGCTACCACTTGCCCTTCACAGGAAGGGGGTTCTGAAGTCTGGCCAGGGAAAGGAATTAGGATGAAAAAAGAGACTTACCTGCCTTCAAGTAACAGAGAAAGGCGATTGATAGGTGTCTCACCTTCCACAGCATAGGTTTGCTCAGTAGCTAGTGACAAGACTCTCTCCTCACAGCAGTGGACAATCTCTTTGTACATCTGCAAGGGTACCTGCAAGGGCAGGTACAGGGCCTTGTAGAGGTGGTCAAACTCTGCCACGAACACATTCCTCCGCAGCTGGTATACCAAATGAGCCAGCTGGATCAGACAGACTATGACCAGTAGGAAACTCCAGACAAAGATGTCCAGCCCGCAGGAGAAAAACCAGCCCCACAATGCATAGCACAAGAAGCCAGTCGCTAGGAAGCTGAAGAAATAGAAACAACCATAGACACCGCTTCCCCCCATGAAGCCCAGCAGTACGAAGCAATTGGCGAGGTGATAAAGTGCCCCTTCCGTATCATGCTTCCAGCTTTCACACAGGGGGACCTGCCAAAGAAGCTGGTCCAAGATTGTGGTATTGTGACCCATCTTTCAAAGGGGTCTAGTCTCTGGGTACTTGGTTTAAAACTGCCCTGACATGTGAAATCAAGAAAATAAAGGAATCAGACTCTAAAAACCTTCTCACCTCCTGGCAACTTGCTGGCCCAACTCAGACTGCCTTCTTCGGGGGAAAGTTTCAGCGCAATTTTGGAGTTAAAAACCCAACAGAGTCCAAAGCCTGGAGAGTTAAGGGGCTTCCCACTGTGGCCCCAGTTAGGTCTCTTTGGCTATAAGCCCCTGGCAACGACACCCAACTGCTCAAATCAGAAGAAAAAAAAAGAAACTCAAGAAATTTATATTAGGAAAAAAAAAATACGGCCTGTGACTAAGATTTCTCCAGGTTATTGAAGAAAGCCAGTCTCAGGCTGTTCACTGCTTCGCAGGAGGGAGAGTATGGGGAAAGAGAGTGAGAGCATGCCCACGTGTTTCATTTGGAATGCCTATCTCTTGGCCACGGAAATAGGAGTGACCCCACATGGATACCATGTTTGGAATTAGAATGCAAGGCGCAGGGACGGTGAGAAAAAGCAGGAACCAGTCAGACAGGCAGGCAGGCATGCAAAGGTCACTTAACATAGCTCAGGAGAATTAGATAAGCCCATAGCATAAGTGAGGGAAGAAAGCATTAGAAGGGAGTAGAAACAACCCCTTTATTTAGAAATTAGTGAAGCATACCTCCTTTTCATCAAGATTCCCTTGTCTTTTAGTACTGAGGTTAATGGAAGTTTAAGTTAAAATTCCCCCAAGCTTGCATGAATGTCTCAGGAAGTGGTTATTCCAGAATATATCTATACATTTTAACTGATAGTTTTTGTTTTAGAGGTTGAGAAACCCCCTTTCATAATAATACTTAGTCTATTTTGTCTAGTGTTCCCTTGAGGATGATTGAATACCTCTCCTGAGATAATATTATAGACAAATAATAAAGAATATTATATTTTCTAACATTACAAAAATATGAGATTATTGTAGGAAAAAATTGTGTTGTCTGTGTGAGATGTGTAAGCTCTTTAAAATTCTACCTCCATTAAATTGTCAGCATCACTGACAAATATTTACTCACTGGCCAGAGGATAATAAGAACATAAGATTTAGAACTGGTAGGGGTCTTAGAGGTCTACACTGATTCCCCCCTCATTTTCTCACATGCCTGGAATCATGGATTTAGAGGTCCAAAGTCCTCATTTTTGAGGAAACCCAGATCACTAACCCTGCTTGCCTCAGTTTCCTCATCTGTAAAATGAGCTGGAGAAGGAAATGGCAAAATGTTCCAGTATCTTTGCCAAGAAAACCCCAAAAAGGGGTCACGAAGAGTCGGAAATGAATGAAAAATGATGAACATGAATGAACAAAAAGGCCAAGTGAAGTGATATGACCAAGGTCATAGAGGAAGTAAGTAGCAGAGTAAGGATTTGAACCCAGGTCCTCTGGCTCTAAATCTAGAATTCTTTCCATTGTATCACTTCTGTTTTGCAAAACAAAATTACTAGAAGCAAAGTTCTTGATTCTCCTCTTGGTGAGGGTGAAAGAAGTTGAAGAACATCTCTCCACACTTCAAGCTGGTAGGGACAGGGAAGGGAGATCGTTTAAGGCTGATTTCTCAGGACCATCTGGCATGCTTTGGCAAGAACACTGGAAGTTCAAGTCTTAATTCCTAAGGCTGGTTCCAGCACTGGCCCCCCCTCGCTACCTGTATGATGTTGGGCAAGTCATTCAACTTCTCTGGGACTCAGTTTCTTCATCTACAAAATGAATGGGTGACTTCTACATGTCCCTTTCCAGCCCTGAAATCTAGGATCCAATGAACCACCATGAATCACTAGTCCTCTTCTACAAAATGTGGTGAGGGGCATACAACTTGCCTAACCCCATATATGCAGTACTTTGTCAGCGTTCAGGTACTACATAAATGTCAGTTGTTCTGTCATTTTTCAGTCACGTCCTGTCCTTCGGGACTCCATCTGGAGTTTTCTTGGCAGAGATACTGGAGTGGTTTGCTACTTCCTTCTCCAGCTCATTTTACAGATGACAAAACTGAAGCAAACAGGGTAAAATGACTTGCCCAAGGTCCCACAGTTAGTGAGTGTCTTGAGGCCAGATTTCAGTTCAGGTCTTCCAGGCTGAGCCACCAGCTGCCTCATAAGTGTCAGATCATGATTAATATTATTACTACTTCTGGAATCAAACATCAGAGTTATAAAGGTGGTTGGGCTGACCAAGCCAAGTGCCCCTCCCCTATTTCCCACTATGTATACATTCTAAATCAAGAGCAGCATGTAAATAGATGATGTTTACAAAGATACAGTTTGAGAGACATATTAATTGACTCTAAACCGGGAAACGGAACTTGACATCAAGGGCTGACTTGATCACTGACTCTGAGGGACCCCAGATAAATCTCCACCTCCCTGGACCTCCCTGGTTTTCTCACCTATAAAATAGGCCTTCTGATGCTTTGATTATCCTCATTAGGACTTGATGAAGATGATGTCTGCTGCTATAGCTACTAACAATAATAGTCAGGGGCAGCTAGGTGGTGCAGTGGGTAGAACATGGGCCTAGAGTCAGGAAGAGCTGAGTTCAAATCCACCCTCAGACACTTATTAGCTGTGGGACCCTGGACAAGTCACTTAACCCTGTTTGCCTTGGTTTCCTCATCTGTAAAATAAGCTGGAGAAGGAAATAGCAAACCACTCCAGTATCCTTGCCAAGAAAACTCCAAATAGGGTCACAAAGAGTCAGGCATGACTGAAAATGACTGAATAACAATAGCTAGCATTTATATAGAGCCTACTATATGCCATGCACTTTACAAATATTTTCTCATTTTAGGTTCTCAACAACCCTGGGAAGCAGGTGCTCTTATAACCCATTTTACAGATGAAGAAACTGAGGTAAACAAGTGAAGCCACTTCCTAGGGTCAGTTAACAGTTAGTTAATGTCTAATTTGAATTTGTCTTACTGACTCCAGGCCTAGAGTTCTACCCATTGCAACCACGTGGCTGCCCCGATTTTGCCGCTTAATTAATTAATTAATTTTATTTTGGTTTACCATTTGAACATAGTACATTTCCAAATAGGGGCTTCCAATACTGTACACATGGCTGCATCTCATTCATCAGAAGAGAGTGGTGTGATGGGAGCTCAAGGAAGTAGCAGAGTCAAAGGAAGGCTTTTAAGGAGATCTGGATGAGCAGAAGTGAAGGAGTGGGAAAATTCAGAGAGGGGAATTATAGTTTGAGATTTTGGAGGTGAATAAACTGCAATGGAAGTGAACAGCAATGATGAGCTCCTAGGTCTAGCATGCTGGTAGCTGGCTAAGTCATAGCTGAGATGCAGGAATTGTGAGGCTGTGGTGCTACGAGTCATTCAGACAGATTCTGAAGTCTCCATGGACAAGAGAGGGCAATCATGAGTCAGGGAGTGAAGTTGTGGGGAAGCTTGCACAAGTCCTGAATTCACAGGATCTAAAATGATCTCATCATTTTAGATGAGAATTTACCTCATTATAATGTGAAAGAAGGTAATCTGAGAAATATAACCTTCACATGTGCCAGACAGGAGATGACTTTCTTTAAACACACACACACACACACACACACACACACACAAGACACACAGACACAGACACACACACCCTCTGCCCTCACCATCCGCTGGGGCTCTAAAGCACTATGGGAGGTACTAGAAATGCAAAGATGAAAAATGCCGCCTTAAGGTGGAGAAAAGAAACTAAATCTCCAGAAAAAAAGAATAGGGCAAAAGGACAATGTCCCTTCCTTACTGCAATAATAGATTATGTGCTGTCATTTCAGTAGTTAAACCATGGGATTTCCACCTCTTTCCTTTTACATTCCCCACCTTATATGCCTTTATTTTAAAAAGCAGTTACAATTTTTCTCTCTATTCATATGCATTTGGGGCTGCCAAAAAAGAAAAAAAAAATTTATTGCCAGCCTTAGGAAGGGTGTAAGGAAGCCACCAAAACAGTGATACACCATAAGCCTCTGCATGAGATAGAATTTCAAAGTAGGTCATCTTTCTGGGCTGAATTCCCAGTAAGCATACCTGACATACTATTGTTGCTGGCATCCATCCTTTAAAGAAATACTAGCATTTTGTGGCTGTTTACTGACCATTCATTCACCTGTTCTCACGTCAATTCATTCATTCCATTTCTCCTCCCAAACTCTTTTAGATATCTACCCACCCACTCTTTGGAGGATGCAAATCTCTATGGCTATGCTTATTTCTACACATGGTACTATGCCAATTGGGAATCCCCTTTGTGATCTCCAGTTTCATATACCAGTGAGTTACTAGCTGGAATAATATCCCGTAGTCAATTCAGTTAAACTAATATTTAATAAATGCCTACTATCTGCAAGGCACTATGCGAGGCACTAAGGATACAAAGATGAAAAATTTTATTGCGTTCAAAGAACTTACAACGTGATGGGGGTGGGGACAGACTATTTACATAAATATATTTGATATAAAGCAGCTAGGTAGCCCAGTGAATTGAGTCCTGAACCTGTAGTCAGAAAGACCTGAGTTCAAAGTCCTGTCTCAGATACTTACCAGCTTAGACCCTGGACAAGTGACTTAAGCACTGTCTGCCTCAGTTTCCTCATATGTAAAATAGGGATAACACCACCTACCTCCTAGGGTTGTTGTGAGGATAAAATGAAATATTTGTAAAATACTTTGCAAACCTTAAGTAAGAGTTGTTGTGATGGTGGTGATGATGATGGTGACGTGAAAAAGGCAAAAGAGAAAGTTCAGGTGTTTTCAGAAAATTTAAGAAGGTAGAGACTCCTTTTAGCCTTAGGGTGGAGGGCATTGGGGAGGGCTTCATGGAAGAAGTGGTACATGAGCTGGGCCTAAAGGAAGAGATTTTGATAAGTGGAGAGCAAAAGAGAGAAAATACCAAAAGGGAGGGAGGTGACTGACTTGTGCAAATACACGGAGATGGGAGAGGGCAGAG